TGCCGACATCGAGACGGCACATTCTGCCACTGACTCCGCCCGAGGCGCCATCAGACTCGAAGGGCTCAGCAACCGGAAGGATAGGTGGCGGTGCCTCGGAGCACCGCATGACACAAGCCATGGAGGATCTGAATCCCTTGGTGAGCTTGAAAGCGGCCTCAAAGATTCGTGTGCGCCAGCTCCACATCGATCCTAACACTACGCTTCCACGCCAGGTGGACTACACACCGCCCCATCTCCTCGCTGCCCTCTTCTCCGACGTCGGCGTCCTCGCCACCAGCTCGGGCGTTGGAGATGCGCTCTTGTCGGTGTATGGTGGAGCGGACTAGTGGTGTAGCCAAGGCACAAGAGCACAGTTCGCAAAATGGAGTGCATGCAGCCCCTTGCGTGTCTGAGCACGCGACCTCGAGAGCTTTAGTGCAAAAGAAAGTGTGATTGATTCGCGAAGCATGTACAATGATCTGTCCTCCACCCTGGCAGCTTAGCATCTCCTCAAGCTTGAGGCTTGCGAGAGACAAAAAGCATCATGGGGGTGAAGAGCTTGGCTTTACCTCCCGCTACGAGCGCCTCAGCAGCCACCTTGAGAGACTCTCCGACGTCGTAGGTACCCTTAGGTGCGATGCCGACGGTCTCCAGCACGCGAACAGTGGTCTGCGTAGTGACTTTGCCCACCCAAGTCATACTGCGTGCAGGTATCGGGTGGAGCTGTGAGCACCAAGCTTTTTCCGCAATTCTTCCCCACGACCCCATACCTAGCCACTCACCGCCAGCACATGAAGATGTCCCACAGAGTCTGCACCTTGCGGATGTCGCCTTCCAAGGGGTAGTACCAAGGGATCTTGTCTCCGACATCTGCCAAGTCGACGTCCGTCTCGATCTGGAAGCCGACCTGCTTGAGAGCTGATCGAGCCGCCTTGATTGGTCTCATCTCTGGAATTCCATCTCCAACCTCGATACCGTGTGCGATACGCTTGTGCTCGGGGTCAGAAGCGTCCCACGCGTCGGTCATGCACCACTCATACAGGCCGAACTGAAGGGTGGGGGTGGAAAGGGAAAAGGAGAGTATTTGATGAGCGACATGGCCTGCTCAGACAAATCGCTCACTTGCTTGACTCACGTATCCACCTGGCTTGAGGACCCGGAAAATCTCGCCATAGATACCTTCCCAGGACGGGGCATGGCAAGTTGCCTCGATGGCATACACAGCGTCGAAGCTGTTCTCACCGAACTGCTCTCTGAGCTTCATGAAGTCGCCCTTAGTGACTGTGAATGATACTTACCTAGTCAGTGCGCTCTCTCTTTAGGATAGCACCAGCGCCACTTTGCAAACTCACACGACACTTGCTTCTCCAGACCGGCCTTTTTGGTATACCTGTTGGCGCGCTCGATCTGGTAGTCGTTGTTGTTGAGGCCAACAATTTCGACTCCGGCAAAACGAGCAATCTCCCTCGCAGGTCCTCCAACACCACAGCCTACATCCAAGACTCGCATACCGGGTTTGAGGTGCATCGCAAAGGCCAGGTAATGTTCGTGTCGTGCGATTGCTTGATAGAACGCTTCCCCAGGGTAGTAGCGGGCGAAGTGAAAGTTTTGACCCCAGCCGTACTCGTACAGGTCAGTGGCACCATCGTAATAGCCTGATAGGAGGGCGCAGAGCTTCTGTCAGTCGATACTCGGGCTTAGGATGCTCTTGCTCTAGGAGAGTGCAAAAGAGGCATCACTGCTACACTGTACGCGAAGTTCATATATCCGAGCGAGATCCGTTCAAGTTCGGCACGAGACTTGAAGGCATACAAGGGGCGCCTGTTGCGTTTGGCCAACGATAGCCACCGCGGTGGACCACCCTTCCCGTAGCACTGCACTTGCTCCCCTTGAAGACTTCGAACACCTCGAACATGGACTTGCCCAGATACTTACCGTTGACAACGCTGGTGTACTCGCTGAGGCGATTTTCTTGGTCCGTCTTGCTGTCCGTCTTGGAGTCCTTCTGCCAGAAAGCGGTGTAATTCTTGATTCCGTCCAGGTTGCGGACGTTGGAAGCGGTAGGAGCCATGATTGCAGGTATCGGGTAGTGGTGAGCGGGTGTACAGAGCTCTGGAGATATGATCGTCGCGGGAAGGACGGGTGCGATTTGAGTTGAGAAGGAGAGTTGCCGAGTGGCCCTTGGGTGTGAGGTCAAGTGTGTAGAGAGAGACCTCTTTTGATTGAAACGACGAGCGAGATCGTCCGATTTGCAACCTTTCAATATGACCTGCTTGCAGTGCCTGCCTGCTATGCTCCGCTCTCTGCTGCTGCATGATGTGCGCTGCAGCGCGGAACACACCTGCCAAAATTGGATGCTCTCTGCTGCTGGATGTGCTCGTGCACGCGAGCTTGGTTAGCGTCGCGAGGAAGAAGATCTGAGGCTGGCTGCGCAGGCACTTCGGCAGTGTGAGAGAGTGTGAGCATTTGCTCGACGTTGACCAAAATTCGGGCCGGCCGCGGAATATTCGCGCGCATCCATCATCGCGCGCGGGCTCGAGCGATGTTCCGTTGCTTGCGCTCATCGCATCACGTGATTCTGGCTTTACTGGCCCTCTCGTCATGCACACCGCCTCACCCCTGCCGCCGATGGTGCCTTTCTCGACGTCGTTCTCACACGCTGTCTGCAGCTTCCGCGACCATCGCAGATGTGAGGATGACTGGACATCAGCAGCTACAAGTCAGCAGCTCAGTGCGGTCGCAGCCTCCTTGACCCCTCCGCCAGCTTTGCCTGCCTTCCAACCGGACTCGACCAGCAACGCGCCGGCCCGTCCTAGACATCATCTTGCACAAAGATGATGGCCCCCATCCAGTCCATCACCTTGCCATCGTCAGAGACTCGTACGAGTCCATCACCTAAGCATACAGTCTATGCTCTGCGCGTGGCTCTGCCAGTCCGCAGCTGGACAGTCTGGCGTCGTTACAGCGAATTCTTAGCGCTTCATACCACGCTGTGTAGCTTGGGAAACCCGCCCGCTGCTTTTCCACCAAAGCATGCGGCTAGAAATACCATCCGTGCCATCGGGTCTCTAGGCGGCCTGTTGAGCCGCGAAGCAGCCGTGGCACGCACGAACAAGCCAGCAGAAGATGAAGATACGAGAGAAAGGCGGGCCGGCTTGGAACGGTACATGAGAGCAATCCTCAGCTGTGCCGACTCGAGGTGGAGACAAGCACCGGAGTTTGCTGCATTTATCGAATTGGCGCCTAGCGACAAGAGGGCTCTGTCTGTAGCAACACCTGCTTCATCCAGCCAAGACGCCTCGGGCTCCGGTCCACCAGTGTTGGAGCGCATCACAGCACCGCGGCAACCGTATGTGCCAGGGTCGTATGCTGGGCAAGCCCCCAACCGGTCGCTTCAAGGCGCGACCAGCAGGACGTTGGGTGCCCCACCTCCGCCAGTCGAGACTCATCAGACACGGGCCCTAGATGACGAAGGACTAGTGAAACTGCAGCAAGGACAGATGGACTCGCAGGATGCTCGCTTGGGAGATCTGGCAGCGGTGCTCCGCAGACAGAGGCAAATGGGCTTGGCTATCAATCAAGAGCTGCAAGAACAAACGGAGATGCTGCGCGGACTAGGAGAGGAAGTGGATCAGGTGGAGAGCAAGATGACGGGCGCCGAAAAACAGATGGACAGGCTGTGATGGCTTCAACGCGCATGCCTTTGGCCCGCATTCGCAGCGCCAGACCCACTCGGACTGCCGAAAGCGCATACAGCTCGCAAACACGAGTCATGCGAGTGGCTTGCGCTCACTCGCACTCTTTGATTGGGCTCAACTCACGTCACTCGTCAAGACAGAGGCGTGCGGTATTCGCCCGCGGCTGATGTTGCTGACCCCGAGGCCATGCACAAAATGAAGCCCGAAGGGCGCATAGTACCTCAAGCTCATCTCGCTTCGTCCGCCCAAATTAAGCTCAAGGCCGCCGGCTTTTGACCCTTCTACACTTGCCACTGCCAACAGATGGGTTCGTGAAAGGAGGAGTTGGAGTCCAACACATGAGGCTTCGTCGCTGCTTACCACCTTGTTGAACGGCGGAGGCGAAGATGGCGGGAGTGAATCTGGCTTCTCGCGAGATGCGCTTTGCCCCAACAGCTGAACTTGTGAGAACCTCGGGTCAATTCTTCGCGGAGGAGTATTGTTAGCGGATATGGTGGCCTAGCATTGTTGGGTCTGAGGCGGCGAAACGAATATCACTTGCTTTCGCGTCAAAGTTACGACTGCTGCTTCACGTACTAAAGACATCAAAGCTGGAATACATCAAAGCAGCGCTCAGCGAGAACTGCTTGCACTGAGACTTGACAGTCTGAATTCATCTTGCACATGAACTCCAGCTCGACTGTGGACCTCTATCTCGCCCCGCCCATCGCCAAGATGTCTCTTCTGAGCGTTCCGAAGCAGTTCGTGGCCGAGCGCAACCTAAGCGCGTCGGTCGAGGAGCAGACTAGTCAAGATCCGCTTGGGAAGATCCGTCAAGACGATGCGATAGACGACGCCCACGCTGCAGCAAGGTTTCCAGAGCCAGTTACTCTACGCAATTCGGGCACGCCAAACAGCAGCATGCAGCCAAACACGATGCGCGGCCAATTTGTACCCGGCACGTACGAGACAAGACCAGAAGGAAAGGACGAGCGTTATGCACATCTTCGAATGATGCGCAAGATAGATTGCCACCTTCTTCCCCTAGCTATTGCCTTTGCTGTTGCCTTGCTGGATCGAAGCAACTTGAGCGCAGCTTTCGTAGTGGGTCTCGCACATGACCTGGAACTCTCGCGTGACAGCCGCTACAACATGATCAGCTGTAGCCTGTACATCTCTGTGAGTTTTAGAGAACGAACATCCCGGTTGATTCAACGGCCGCCCGGCATCACAGGCTCCACGCTCACCGCCGGCTCATGGTTCCCAATGCCTGCAGCACCTGTGCTTCTTGCCAGTGATCGTCATTCTCTGTCAGCGATATTCAGCTCGATGGTGGCTATTCACGTGCGTGCTCGTTTGGGGAGGCGTCTGCATCGCTGCTGGGTTTGTCAATCACTGGTCTCAGCTACTCGCCTGTAGGATTGTCCTTGGCGCTTTGGAAGCTTGCTTTTTGCAGCGCGCCCATTGTTTGCTCTTCATGACGTATGCGAATCGCCAGCTGGGCAAGTGCGTGGCCCCCACTTCTCTTGCTCGAGCTCTCGCTTGTTACTGACTCGGTATCTCTGCTGTGCTGCAGGCGCTTCGCAGTATTTTCGTTATCTGGGGTGAGTATGGCGGGTGATGTAGACATTTCTGGCCGCAGAGTCGCATCTGATTTGCGGAATCGAGCTCATGATCGATCCTCGGTGCAGCACGTCATGTCTGCTTTCTCTCCGTAGGTCAAATACGATACTTTACCCGCCCTGCGTTGATGAAGACTGAGGCGTCGCCCACTCGCTTGGTCCCTCTAGCCTTCTCAATGAAGCCTTTTCCCGCACTCCGACCTGGGGGCCCACTCACAGGTGGAGTTGGATATTCATATGGGCGGGGTGAGAGGCCATTCGCGCCGCTGGCCAGTATAGCCTTTCGAGACTGACAGGGAGATGCGTGTCTTCCTATGCACTAGCGTTCTCACCGTCATCGTAGCCATTCCCGTCCTGCTTTTTGTGGGCGACGTTGAGACGGCTCCCTGGCTCACCGAGTACGAGAGACATATGCTTGCTGGCAAGACGCATATTGTCACTCAAGGTCCGTGTGAAAAAGCAAAGAGCAAAGACATTGAAGACGATACTCGACCACAACGTGGTGTGCACCTGGGCACCGGCGAAGTGCTCACCATCGTGCGAGAGCAGCCACTCGTCTTTGCGAGCACTGCACTTTTTTTCGCTGCTCTATTTCCTGTCATTCTTCTCGCCTACTTTTTGCCAATCATTCTGGTTGATGTTGGATTCTCGGGAGACGAGGCTCTGATCATGTCCGCTCCTGTGAAGTTGTCTGGCCTTGCCGTGGGCCTTACGTCAGCTATCATCGCCGATCGATACCAATCAAGGCTGGCCGCTGTCATGACAGGCAATGTGGTGAGTGACTCCGCATTGCTGTTTCCGAGCCTCTGCGAGCTTCGGAGCTTAGGACGGACCAGCCACGTTGCGGCAGATTACGAGCATTGGCCTTGGCCTGCTTCTCCTTGAAATGTCGAAGATCCGATTTGGAGGCGTTTTTCTGGTCGACGTTGGTGCAGCGATCAGTGTCGCTAATGTACCTCCATTGCAAGTGAGCCCTCTCGTCGCCTTCTCGATCACCCGCCTGGACCAGATTTGATGCCTGATTCCGTCTTCTCCCTCGATCGACAGGCTGCCAATTTCGCAGATGTCAAGGTGAAGAGCGTTAGCGCTGGATGGTGAGTGCTTTTGGAATCCAAATGCAGCCTACCAGTCGATGCATGGCAAGCATGCTGAGCACTTCCTAGTGTTTCCGCTCTGAACAGTCTCACGCTGGGCTCTGCTTTAGCGGGTATCGTGGCTACCTTGGTGTTTCGAACTCAAGATCGTCCCAAGTTTCTGCTGGGACTGGGCTGGGGTTTCGCCACTCAGGTACGACCAGCAGTAAAAGCTCGTAGACAGACGACGTGCTGACGTTTTCTCAAACCTGCCGCCGTCATGTAGGCCCTATCGCTCCTTCTCTGCATAGCTATGATACTGTACCTCTCGCACATGAATCGCCTGGCTCGGAAGGGTCTTGTGATCATACAACGCAAACGTGAATTTCGGTACTCCTTCTGATCAACCACTCCCCTCGCAACGAGCGATCTTATGCGTGCTATCTCACCCTCAAATCAACGATTCCATCGCTGTTTTTGAACTTCGCTGAAATGCACGGCGCCCTGGTGACATGGCCCATTCTACTATGTGTATGTGCTTTGTAGAAGCTTGGTTGCTTTACCCCACGATTCACAGTGTCTGGAGTCAGACAATCCGGTGGAAGGTGCCTGAGCGCAGTGCTGATGCGGTTTCGCGGCTGTGTCCATCGCCTCGCACAGTGGCCACCTGCGTGCAGGCACAGTCAGGGTGAGACTATGTCTTGACTCCACCAGCAGACTTGATGCTTGGTGGAGAAGGTTCACACAAAGATCACATGTACGTGTGAGCTGTCGCGCGCAGCTGGAGTGCTCTGTGCACCATCGAGAGTAGCTCTGCTGACTTGATCAACTTGAATCCGAATGCTTGAGTATCGTCTTGTGCAACACTCACTCCCATGCAGGTCCCTGAAGAGCAATCAAGAATGGGTCCGTCTGGTGGTTCAGACTCGCGTCGCGCGCCTAGCCTGCTGTGGCGGTCGTGCAATTCCCGGTCGCATGGACGATGATCAAGCAAGCGCGGCCTGAGAGCGCTTAGCTATAGCTTCGATCGATGCATCGCTGCACGCACACGCGCGCGCGCGCGCCCGAAGCTCATCGGTCGCTCTGCATATTGGGGCCTACTCACACTGTGAATGAGCATTTCGACTGGCGCCTTTGATGATGCTCAGCGAAGAACGGTAGCGCGCCACTCGTGACTACACGAGTCGTGAGCCTCACGAATGCTTCAGGTTGGCGGCTTCCTGTGCCTTCCCGTCATACACAGCAATCACGTGATTTGCGATGACTTCTCTTGAAGTCCGCTGCGTCTAGCATGGATATCAAAGTTGCAAGAGCTACAGCACAATCAAATGTAACACACAGAGGGGGATGCCCACCACAAATCAGCAGATTAGGACCTGTCATGGGAGTCGCTGTCCGTCACCTTGCTCCTGTTCCCCATATGCTCACGATCGAGTGACATACTCGTCGGCGTACGTGCGACAACGGCAGCGCGCCCACTGTGTCGATCCTGTCGCGCACGCGCCCACATGCATAAATATGTACATCACACTTGTCCAAACCTGAAATGCTACCACCA